TTTAATACACCCTTAATAAATTTTTTATATTATGAGTGTGTTTCAAAGTTTCAAATGTGTGACAAGAAGGAAGCAATATTCATCTTTCGTTCAAAAAAGAAAAAAGAAAAAAGGAAGCAATATTCATCTTTTTAAACAAAACAAAAAAACAAAAAACAAAAACTTGCATTGAAGCACTAAAAACAAATTTTAAATTGGGAACCCCCTTTCTCCCTTACACGTGTAAATTACGTTACTCTGTAATTATGGTTCATAATTTTCCTGTAGTATTAGATGCTGTGGTTAGCGAGCTCATATAAATCTCATATGAACCTCACATTTTCCGCAACACAAAACCAGCTGAGATTTCTTCTGCAAGATCTACAGAAATGCAGAAAAACCATGTTCTCAAATGCAGCAGAGGCAGTGTGTGTGAAAAGAGCAGACCGTTACCAAACGCAATCATCATATAAATCCAAATGGTGATAAGGTGGATTAGCCTGTAACGTTTTCAAGGCTAGCGTGTCAAGAAATTGCCATAAAGCTCTGCCCTTTTTCTTCTGCAACGTCCATTCTTCCCCCCTTTAAAGCTCTATCTTTCTCTCTCTCTCTCTCTCTCTCGCTCTCGCTTTTCTTAGCTCAGCAGCTCAATTAACCCATTCAGTTTCTGCTGAGTCAGTCACTTTCCTTCAGTTTCCCCAGAAAAAAAATCCAGAAAAGAGAAAATGCTGCCTAGGCTGAACGGTGCCGTTTGGATGGGTGATAGAGAGGACAGAGACTCTGCTTCATGGAATAGAACCGCCGCCGCCACCACCAACAACAGCAATTGTGGTGTTGTGGAGAGCAAGGACGAGTTGGGTTCTCTGTCTACCTTCAAATCCATGCTTGATGTTGATGATGATTGGTATCTGCCCAATAATAGCATTCAGAGCCATTCAGATGTCAGAGACATAGCCTTCTCGCCGAGCTTTGCTGACCCAGAAAGCTTGCTGCTCAACCCAGTGGACTCTTCCTCTTCTTGCTCACCGTCTTCCTCGGTTTTCAACAATCTTGACCCAAATCAGGTTCATTACTATTTGCCTCAAAATTCCACCTTGTCTTCGCTCCTTAATGTTGTTCCTAATAACCCTTTGGAGCATGGCTTCGATTTGGGCTGTGATATTGGGTTTCTTGACACTCAAGCTTCGAGTGGTTCAAGTTTAATGAACAGGGGAGGTGGGGTTTTAACTGGGTTCAGTGGTTTGAGCTCAAATAACCAGATGAATGCTCAGGATTTGTGTTCAAATTTACAATTTTCAACAACCCGTCTGCCTCAATTGCTTGAAAATAGTTCAAATTTTTCGGTCTTTCGGGGTTTTGAGGATACTTCAGCGAATGCTTTGTTTCCCAATAGGCCTAAATTATTGAGACCCCTTGACTCCGTCCCTGATGTGGGAGCACCGCCCACTCTTTTTCAGAAAAGAGTTCAGAAGAACTTAGCTGATAATGGAGGAAATTTGGGTGTTTTAGGCTCAGAAGGGGGCCTGGTTTTGAATCATATGGAAGGGGGTGAGAGGAAGAGGGAAATGGGTGAGGAGAATGAGAGGAAGAGGAAATTGAGTGGGGGAGATGATTTTGAAGATGTGAGTATCGATGGTTCGGGTTTGAACTATGATTCAGATGACTTTACTGAAAACACTAAGATGGATGACGGTGCTAAGAATGGCGGTAATAGCTCGAATGCAAATAGTACTGTTACTGGCGGAGGGGATCATAAGGGGAAGAAGAAAGGGTTGCCCGCTAAGAATTTGATGGCTGAGAGGCGCCGCCGGAAGAAGCTCAATGATAGGCTGTACATGCTTAGATCCGTTGTTCCAAAGATCAGCAAAGTAAGAATTTATTTTACATTACACCATTTTCTCGTGAATTTGAGTATGCACTGATGGTATGTTTTAGGTGATTAGGTCCTCAAAATACATAAGAAATTTGTTTTTAGGCTTTTGTTGAAAGAATTGCACCTTTTACCGGGTTCCAAAATGCTTCACTTCAATTGCAGATGGCATTAATTTCTCTCACATGGACTCTGGTAGCATGCCCTTAAATTTTCTACATTTCAAAATACTACCTTGTTGTTCAACATCAAACAGTTAATGCAGACTAAAACACTTTTTTTTTAAAGGATTTTTGTTTCTTTAACCGGTGAGTTCAAAATTTCATTTCATTTCTCGCTACAATTGACATCAAAGTTAAAGAAAATATGTAGTTGGAAGTTGGAAAGAAATAACCATCACTCACAGTTATTGTTTATGTCCAATTGCTTTGAAGTTCATTTAGTGAAGTTATAGTAACTCAAGTAATATTTACTGTTATTTGCTATTTGAATTTTGAAGTGCAATAAGTACTTGTTCTAACTTTTAACCAACTGAAATGAAAGATGTCAGTAAGTCACCATTGGGAGGAACTACAAAAAAGCTTTGTTTTGTGCTTCATGAATATCATATGATTCAAATGACATTCCGTTTTGTGATATCAGATGGACAGGGCATCAATCCTTGGGGATGCAATTGAGTACTTGAAGGAACTTCTGCAGAAGATCAACAACCTCCATAATGAATTGGAGTCAATCCCTCCTGGGTCTTCATTGACGCCTACCGGAAGTACTTTCCACCCTTTGACACCCACTCCGGCTACCCTGCCAAGTCGTATCAAGGAAGAACTTTGCCCCAGCTCATTACCTAGCCCAAACGGCCAACCTGCAAGGGTACACCCTCTATGCTTGAAAATTGATTTTTGAGTATCTTCAATCCAGTAGTCTACTTTAGATTTTCCTCTTATAATCCTGAAACTTATAGTGAGAAATAAATGATTGATGCATTCTCTTCTTTCAATTCAAGTGATTTTACTTTTTTCTAAAAAGCAAAAGGAAATTATTCACTCTGTTAGTTTAGATCTTTATTTATCCTAGAACCTTTGTGCCACTATCATAGCAAATGTTTCACTATAGTGTTCCGATGTTGATGATTATGCATAGGTTGAAGTTAGGTTACGAGAAGGAAGAGCAGTGAATATCCACATGTTTTGCGGGCGCAGACCTGGTCTCTTGCTCTCGACCATGAGAACTTTAGATAGCCTTGGGCTAGACATCCAGCAAGCTGTCATTAGCTGTTTCAATGGTTTTGCTATGGATGTCTTCCGTGCTGAGGTATTATTCCCTACAGTCATCAGTTCTTTACATATACAACGTTCGACTAATGTTATCATTGATGTACGTTTTGTTACCAGAGATTTGTCTCACAGATTCAAATAAGAATCCACGCCATCTACGTTTAGATTGACAGTCAATGTAATCATGTTAGACTGTTTGATTGTCGAGGACTGTATGTACTTAAACTATTACTAAAAACCAGTGCTACAGCTAACTTCCCTCTTATTTCAGCAATGCAAGGAAGGTCAAGACGTCCACCCGGATCAGATAAAAGCAGTACTTTTGGAGTCAGTCGAGTTCCATGGCTTGATATAGATTGCAGCAAAGCAACAAACTGAAGTTGCTTTAACCAAAGACAGGAGTCGTCATGCAATTTGTATATCATTTGCTTTGCCATAGCTCAATTGCGTCGTGCATCAAATTTTAATTAGCAGCTTTTGAAGAAATTTGTAGGTTTGCTTTGTATCATCAGAAAATTCAGCGTCAGTCAGACCTGGATTGACTGAAAGAAAAAAAAATTAATTCTCAGCCCTTATCTTTTCAAGTTCTTAAATAAATTGGCCTTTAGAACCATTGTTTTTATCTAGTGGTGATTGTGTTTCATTTCCTCTCTGGGGTGATTGATTGAACCCAAAAACTATGTTCCATACTAAGGAGCTTCTATAATGAGGGGGCTAAGCTGAAGGGTTTGAGTCCAGTCATCCAATAATAGCCATGTAATTGATTGGATGGCTATTAAAAAGAAAGAATCCCTCATTAGTGTTTTTTTACTAGAATTGCAAATGTTTGTAAAACTTGGAAAGCGATTCCGAATCTCTTAAAATTAAAATTAATAAAAGAAAACTTGATTTGAAAGAAAATTAGTAGACTTGGGCTTCGTCGTGGGCTTGCCCATAACATAATAACTTTGTGAATTGTGAGAAGATGAAAGCAGAAAGAAAGGGACCCAATGGTCCCAACCTAAATATCCAGATCCCTGAGGTATGTGTGGTGTGTGGTGTTGGAGAGGTGCTTCTGTGCCCGTCGTGGGTCATCGTGAATATTAGAATTCCACGACTTGCAGTTCACGAAAACGGTGTCGTATAGTATATATCGCTTGCATCGTCTTATTATATACTGATGCGAATATTCGTACAGTGGACAGTCCTTTTTAACATCTCAGTCAACACTAGGAATTTGGGACACCCGGGAGAAAACGTTGTCGGTGACAACAACAATGTCATGTGTCCACTGTCCCTCAAGTCTCCAAGTTTGTTCACGGTTCAGTTGAGGCCTTAAAAGTCTGCCAAAAAGATAAGTTGATGTCTAAACAGCACTATCAATGAAACCAACACCCCCAACAAGGAAATATCCCTAGCATTGGAACTCTGTATTTCAGGAAATATCCTAATTTTCGTCAAGGGGTCAATTAAATTACATAAATTGACAGGTTCATTTATATACTATTCAAGAGAATTTGTGGTTCAGAATTTTTCTGTTTAGGCAAGTTTTGACTCTATAAGATGAGGTCTGTTGTTAGGAGGCCCTCTCTTCTCTAATAAACAATGACATCCTAGTGTTAGGCTAGAAATCAACGATCAGAAACAATTAGGTTTTAGGTTATCTTCCAAGAATTATTCATGCAAAATATCAGCTACATCAGAAAGCCGTTTGATGACCTAAGACGTATACGATTCTGATCATTGAACACCATACACGACTTTTTCAGCCACAAAATCCACTGGTTACTTGCAAATTACAATCATTCATTGCAAAAATATCTTCAACAATAAAAAAGAAGAAAAACAAAACAATAAACTAAAATCATTTGGTAATTTCTTTCTTAACCCAAAAAGCATAACATTAGGCAATCTGTGCACTTACTTACATTACAAAGTTGGGAAAATGAGGTAAAACAGGTATGTACAAGGTGGAATTGTTTGAAAGGGGCAAGGCCACATCGCCTTCCTCGAAACAAAGGGTAGTATATATATCTATATCTATATATAACCGGACACTTGAAAATAAACTAACTCCAGAACATGTCCAAAACTGGATAAAACCACATGCGCTGTCATCTATCTTGGACTTCTAAGATGAATTTAAAGTCCAATGGAGAAACAGCTTACATCCATCTCCGTTACTTCATATATCCGAATAGCTTAATAGAACTCTCACAAATGCACCGTCACTATCATCTTTCCCCCAAAACTCTACAGATTTCCAGTAAGAAAGCATGATCAAAATGGCTTAAACCGGCATAAATAGCCAACAAAAGCATCGTTAATTATATATACCTAGTCATATACCTACAAATCTTGAGACCCAGGCCTAACATTTTCCTGGAGTAGATGCTGAAGGAAGTGGCTGAGACTTCCCCTCTCTTGCATCTGCACCCTCCGCAACCAATGATAAATTCTCCTCCCCATGTGAATTTAGAGTCCCAGGGTTCATCTTTTGAACCTCCTCTCTGGTGTAGATGAAAATCTTCCGGACTATGCCACAAAATTCCCTGAAACACACATATAAGCAATGTAACTTTATTAGACTTACAAGTACCCAGAGAATCAATTTTCAGATTAAAAAAAAGATAAATACTTACTGCCAGGGATCATCTCCAACAAGCATCATATCACCCTCATCATCAGTGTACACAATCAACCAATTCTTTTTTGGGGCCATCAGCTCACCGTCAAATTCAAACAATTGGTCCAATTCAGCAATCAGTTCCTCGTAGTTATTGAACTTGGTAAGATCAACAGACCTACCAAGTGCAATACCCTGTTTGTGAACCTGAAACCAAAAGCAACAATTAAGTACTGCTTCCGATACACTTTCATATTGTCAACAGAGTTCCAAGTAAAGCCTAAGAAAACACAATGTCAGGACGAGGAATATATAATACCTTGGTACAACTCCTAGTTGAACCTCCCTGTGGTTTACCCTGACCATCTCTGACATGTTGCTGAGAAGTTTGCAACAGTTTATCCGGCTCATTAACAGCTAAGGGATTCTCCACTGATTTTGAGCCCCTTGATTTATCAGACTTCTGGTCAGACTCAAAAGTATGAACTTGGTTATGGTGAGGTGACCCAATCATCGCATTTCTGTGTGACAATGCAGCCTCTGGTGCTATGAGAGGAATACCAAAGAGCTTGTAGTTTCCATCTTTAGGCTTCACAGCCTCCTGTTTCTGTAGTGATGCATGCTGTGGCATGGCCTCCCTTGCATTTGCAGGATTCTCGAAATGTGATGGGGGTGGAGGCATTAACCAATTTCCTTGTGGGTGGTCAACTCTATGACCGTTCAGAACAGAATAGTCACTAAATCCACCATATCTAGTATTCCCTTGCGCTTGGTAAGCCATATTGCCAATGGGAGGACCCTTAAGATTAGAGTCCAAGCTAAGGGACAGAGATGAGGGCAACATGGACCATGACTGCAAGTTAAACTTGCCTTCCTGATCTAATGAATGCTTTCTCATTGAATTAGCAACAGCTTGATCAACAAAAGGCGGACAGATACCACGCGAAGAATCAACATTAGTCCCAAAGCCTGATAACAGATCTGTGTAAGTTGGTTCATGCCTCCCTGAGGGCATCCAGTTCTCTGAACTATATCTTCTTGAAGCAGAAACCACGTCAATCTTCTCATCATCTACCGAAGGTGTCCACGCAAGAGACTTTTCAGCAGTATCAGACTCGCTATCCACAAAATTGCCTCTCAAGGTCGAGAATTCTTGACCTTGCAAGACCCTTGAAAACCCACCTGGCATTGCAGGGTCTGCAGTTACTTTTGAGGAACCTACAAAAGAAACAAAGAAGAATAATTTTAGTTCCTTTGAGTAGCAAGAACACTGCAAATCTTCTGGATAAAACACTTTCAGGTGTCTAAAACTGTACCTTCCCTGGTGAGAACAGAGGAGTCTGGAGACGAGGGTACCATGTTTGACCGAGGCCTTTTTGGCCGGGGCATCGGGAGGGGATTCAGTGCTGGAGGAGCAAGAGCAGGCTCTATTTTCCAAGGTGAAACTCTGTCTGGACGAGGTATGGTTGAAGTCTCATCCCATCTCACCTTTAAGAAACATAAGAATGTTAGCTTTAGCATAGAAAATAATTAACAGCACATGCTGTCATGAGGAACTGATACTACCTTAAGGGATCTCCATTTGGAATCTCGCCATCTTTTGGTGTCAGCATCTTCAATTCCAATTATGGTACCAGTAAACCTACAAAAAGATAAAAGTCTTTACAAACTTTCTGGTTGAAGGGAGAGGAAGCATTACATAAAAACAGCATCCATCAACCATACCTCTGCTCCGGAGCTTCTTCACCTTCAAACCTCATCTTGAACCTCATACCTATAGAATAGTTGTTTTTAACAGACTCCATGTACTGGTCAAATGGAACAATGAATTCAGCAGGGCTTGTTCTGTAAACAAACATTTTCACAAGCACTTAGAAAAAATTCAAGCCTGAACAAATCATCAGTAGCAAATGTTTCAAATATCATCTCATAATAAGATCTCAAACTAATTGCTTAAAAATTCAAAGAAAACAAACCACACCTTGGCTTGTAGTACACAGTGAACATCGTTCCTGTTAAGATGGCGTGCCATGCGGTAGCAAGGACACCTAGGTGCATACTGTGACTAGATATCACTGAAGATGGGGCACTGCCTTGCTGTCTCATTGCACGTCTAACACCAACACGGAGCTCCCCGTTTTCACCCCTAGATGTTTACATGATGGTCCCATATAAGAACACGAAATCCAATTTAAAAAACCCATACATGGAAGCTCAAGTATGTAAGACTAACCTTAAAAATATAAATGCATCTCCTGCAACAAGCCTCTTGGAGCTAACGAAAACACTCCAACCACTTTGAAGCAAATGCCTCCGGGGTTGACCTGCCATTCCCAATATAATGTTAATTAAACGATACAAAGCTATAAAACATGTAGAACTTACTAGTCGCCAACAAAGCAAACCAAACTAAAACACAAAAGAATGACCCAAATATTAGTACGATCATCAACCTTGTTTCACCAGTATCATTAACAATGGTCCCCAGACAGAGATTGGGTAACACAGCAAATCCACAGGAGAGTGATGAACTTAATAGTTAATATCAAATGCATAGAAGTTACCTCTGAAGATATGGCGAAAGCGCCACTCATTTGCATGCAAATCTTTTGCAACCAACTCCTGGGTTGGAGGCTGGCGAGACATGTCCTACCAAAGAACAAGCCAAAAACAGCCACAAATAAGCTAATTTCCAAGGGAGGGAAACAAGGGAATGCATCAAACTACAAGGTAACAAAAACCAACCAGTGGTGGAAGGCATTCATCTGCGTGCCGCCTCAGCACTGAAAATCCACCATGAGTGCTTGTATCCGAAGCAGTTAGAGTCTTACAAAATGAATGTACTTGAAATCGCGGTGGTGGAGGTGGAGGAGGTTCCTTCTCTACCGCATTCTCATCTTGCTAAAATTTAAAAGAACATCAAACTTTCAGAATCTCAACCATATAATCAATTGCACTCAAATATTCATAAACTAGAAACCTTGAGAGGAAACTTACACTTGGCTCGGGAAGTAAAGTGACTTGTGCAAATACCTCATCAGTGTCCGGTTCAGCCTACAATTCAATAGCAAGAAACTTATCAATTTGTTTCAAAGCTAAAGGTCTGAAGTACATAAGAAGTTGCAAAATAATTAAAATTCATAGACTTCAAAGCCTAAATTCTTAATTTCTTTATGAGATCGGACAGTCACTACCTTCAGTTGTACATGGATAACCCGGCAAAGGATCTTTGAGGGAAGATTATACACAGGCATCTGTTGGTCAGCCACCTGATTCGTTGACGCCTCCACCTAAACAGGACCCAGAAAACACCATCGATTATTAGTAACGAACAAATATTCAAAAACAGAAACACTCCGGAATCGCATCAGTTTACATCTATAATCAATGGACATGTATTGAAAAAAAAAAAAACAATTGATTACTCATCAACCTCATTAAAAGCCCCGGCGCCAAAGGAAGAACCATGAAAAATGGAAGAAAATGAAAGAATTTGAAACTATGTGAGCTGAAGCCAAAACATCGTTGGTAGAATAAAGAATTTGAAAGCCAACCTGCTCGATGTGTCCCTGCGGAAAGTAAAAGACACGTTCCCGTTCACGCGGCACAGTCACGAGCGGCCCAGCGCAGGCGTGCCAAAGCTCCGTGTAAAGTGCAGTCTCAGCATCTACATATAAATCAAAATAATAGAAAACCACAACAATCAGAACCCATAGCACATGGAAACTCGAGAACCCACAACTTGTCGGCAGAAATGAAACCAAATTGGCCGGAATTACCTCTACCGGCGGCGGAAACAGTGGGATGACTCTTTTGCCCCTCTACGTTATTCCTAGCATCGTTATGGTCGCTGAAACCGGACGAGAAGCTATCTCCCCTCTGGTTCCCGCAATTGTCCTTTATCGAAACCTCCGATGACGTCATTTCTACAAAAGCTCAGAGCAGATCTCTCATCTGAAACTCTCAGCTGTGCAATTTCTCAACTTTCACCCCCACCCCAAGATCCAAACACCCAAAACCCCTAGTCTTCAAACCACCACAAACATCTATATATTCACCTCTGTTTCTCTCTCTCTCTCTCTCTCTCTCTCTCTCTCTCTCTCTCTCTCTTATACCTCAATTGACACCCTCACTCAAAGCTCACTGTGCAATTTCTCAACTTTCACCCCCACCCCAAGATCCAAACACCCAAAACCCCTAGTCTTCAAACCACCACAAACATCTATATATTCACCTCTGTTTCTCTCTCTCTCTCTCTCTCTCTCTCTCTCTCTCTCTCTCTCTCTTATACCTCAATTGAAACCCTAACTCAAAGCTCAAACCAGAAGCTGTATCTACCAATCTCCACCTATATACCACTCTCTATCGCTCTGCTCGTACACTGTCTCGATGAAACCCCTTGGTTTCAGACCTCACAGCGAAGCTCTCTCAATTCTCAACCAATTCTCTCGATTCGACCATCAATGTCCACCTCTTCCTCTTCTCTATCTCTCTCTGCAACTCAAGGCCTCTCTCTCTTTGCTTATCTCCCTCTCTTCACCCCGGCTCTGCATGCAGGAAGCAGCTCCAAGCTTTTGTTCTCTCTCTCTTTCCCTTTCTCTGAGTCTATGGGTGTCTGAAAAATGGAAGAGGCTTAACCTGAGTGGTCAAAACAGCGTGCAATGATTTCAACCGCAGTCAATTTCTAACCAAGTGTACCGCGACTCTCATTCGCGGGTCACCGAGCCCTTCTGCAACCGGTTATACCCGGTGGACAGGTCACCAAGCCCCATACAGCGACCGCCCGCTTACGTGTCCATTAATAAAGGCGGCTCTGAGACAGCACAAATGACGCTCCACTCCGCCGTTCGCAGGTGTCGTTTCCTGATTCGAGCTCCCGAGTGGGTAGCGTGTAACGGCATCCATGACGGCTTCCAGGTGTCGCAGCGTGAGTGTGCAGTAGGTGGGAGGAGCAGGTAACGGCGTGAAGTGGGAAAAGTTGTTGTGTTTTTATTGGGAAGTGGCGTTGTCGTGCTATTAACGGGCAGGCTTGGATGGATGTAGGAGAGTAGGAGGGGTCGTACTTAATTACACTTCCCTTTTCGAGTGTGCGCATCGTAACCATGGTTACTTTTTTATTATTATTATTTTCTTTTCTTTTTTTTCTTGGCTTTGTCCCCTTCAACTGAACTCCTACATTATATAATTTTTTTATAAAAATTTTAATGATGCAGAAATTGACATGTAAATAAATGTATATACTTTTTTAGAATATTCATTGGTGTATATGGGGAGTCATATCATATTAGATTATAATTCATGTTAAATAATCATGAATTTAATATTATTTCCTTTCAACAATATTCATAGTTTTTTATTTTTTTATTTTTTTTTAATCCTATAAGAAATGATCATGCATCTTTTCAACTGATTAAATGTCAACTTGAGTAGTTCAAATGCAATTAGGTTAATTTGGGATTAGTCTATTGATTTGCCCCTCCTGCCTTGCGTTCATATAAGGACTTGTAATCATTTTTCCTTATTTAGGGGGGCGCTAGCCCATAGATTAGGAAGACACCAAATTTGGATTAGGATCAACAAATAACTATTTCTAGCTAGCTGACCCTTTTGATCAACTACTCATTGTAGGCTCCTAATCAAATGGAATCAACAAAACTTGGTACCCAAGCTTGAACTTCAATGACAGTAACTTTTAAATAATGTTAGGCATCGACTGTGACATTTGAAGCTTGTACTTAAAGATAATTTAAGTATCGGACGTATGATATCAAATGCGATACATCTTAATCATTCATCACACTCTAATGTCAAACCCGTAAGTTCTCAAGTTAAGTTGTTTAAACTTAAAAATTGATGGGAAAACAAAACCCAACGATGAAATTCTTATGAACCTAGTTTGCGTAACGCAATTCCTAATCACCTTCAAGTTGTATTACCCAATGGCAGCCTTGATTTAGAAGTAATCCTAATTGTTGTCACATCATGTGCTAACATTTCCATATAGGTATGGACCATCTAGAACATTAGCCTTTCTATTTTTTCATTAATTTTAGCTTGTTACAATAAATTCAAGCAACCTATGTTCTTTTCAAGCAAAGGTCCTCTTAAATTTATAGGTTATACTTTTACATTCATATCCCTTCTCAAAATAACACAATCTTGTGCCCGTGTGAAGGTTATGGAAAAGTTTCTTATTTTTTGAGAGAAAAGCGATAATTGTATTCATAAATTAGACACAAACACCATTAGCCACAAGGGCAAATACAAATGCCCACAAAGGGGTAATATAAATATGAAAGCATAGTAACCACATATGGCTAATCTAGATATAGGCCACAAAAGGTGAAAGAAAATTCGGCATAAAAGCCGTATGCCTGAACAAACAAAACATGAATCACAGCTCCTAAATCTACCAGTACAACAAGTTTTAACTCTCACAAGTACAAAATACAAGTATAAACTATAAAACAATCAAACACGCAACTCACAACGAATTGAAAACAATTAAAGTTTCTTATTTCAACAACCCTCGCAAACAAAATTAGGTTCCACTAGTATCAAACTTGGTGTAGACCCTTAGAAACGAGGGGCAAAATGAAGAAACTACCTCCTATCTAGGGTACCCTAGTTAGTCGGCTAGTAATTGGACCAAAATAAAAACCTCATTTTAAACGTGCCATATATGTATCCCATTTGTCAAGATACTAATACAAGGACATTTTTGAAAGACCCAACAAAAAAAAAGAAGGGACAATGTGATATTGAATGTAAGTAAAATTAAATTAAGGGTTGTTTAACTCAATAATTAATTTGTATAATCTTATTTTGGGTTGAAAATGAAAAGGGAAATAAAATGAAACCAGGGGAGGGCAAGTCACGTGTGGGGGGGGCAAAGGTTGCAGAGGAGGGAGGGCGTAGAGAAGAGAAGGGGAAGAAAGTATGTGAGGGCCCACGTGTATTGTCCAATTGCAGGTGTGTATGGTCTAAAGCAACAAATGGAGGAATCTCAATCTCTGTCCCGGAAAAAGGTGATATCCTCGTAATCCTGTTTAATACTAATTAATTTAAAATTAAACAATTTTTACTCTTTATTTGAACTTTACACTGTTAAAGTATCTCTCTTTTCAAACATGAAACTGTTGTTTTCCGCACAATTCACAAATGCTGAAACACACAAGAAGCTCACAAAGCAAAGGTTCTTCTTGACATTCCCTCCCTTCACCCTTTTTTATGGAGCATAAATTTTGGGCTATTTAGGTGTGGCCACTAGGTGTGGACTCCGTAGGTTAACGAAACTTCCCAATTTTCGTTGACATATTCTCTCTTTATGTTTAGGTTGTTCAAGTACTTCGCTATACTGATTAGATATAATCTTTCGATGTACACTCGATAAGTCAACGAAATTTTTTATTATTATTTCGTTACCCTCTCTCGTTGTCTCTATCATCACGTGACCGTTACATGAGGATAGAAAACTCAAGAGACATGAATGACTTGAAAAAAATGAAAGATCCTGATTATGTTGTCCTTGTAGTGAAAAAAAGTTTGCATGATTTAAGAACCTTGCTTGCTTTGTATACCAACCCTATTAAAACTACCACACACGGTTTTTATATAGTCACATATAATAAAAACAAAATCAGGTACACGTTTTTCTGGTGTATTGTCTCTTTCATTATCTTTTCGTATTTTCTTTATATTTTATACCTAAATAAAATAATTGCAACTCACATAAAACTCAACTGGTCTCCATTTTACTTATGAATTTTTTTAAAATGTTATTTTCATTGCTTCTATTTATCAAATTAAATGCTAACTTATATAAATCGTACCGAAAATAATATTTCGAGGACATTAAATCAAACAAAATATTGTTATAATAAATATAAAATTTTTTATACCATGAAATTGAAAAAAAATATATATAATAAGATGAGAAAATATAAAGTTGCAATTTTTTTTTTTATACCTTGTATAATTGTGGAGAGCACTGTGACAAGTCAGCCATCGAAATAGAAAGCAAGAAAAGTGAATAAAACGTGCGTATTTTGGTTCCCACACAAAACCAAGCAAAGCCTACTTTACCTAACTTGTAGCGAGGCTATTTTGGGACCAACATATACTATAGTGAAGTGGTGGTTCAATTGCCCATTTGAAATTGATGTACCATTATTTTGTGTGGTGTCATGGGCACGAGTTTTCTTACTCAATCTGTACTGGATCATCCCGAAATTTATCACATAAGGTTGTTCAATCAAGACATGTGCGTATCGTGAAAGAGAATGGTCTTATCTCCTTTGCGATATTTTCTAGAACTGTACTATAGTTGCCCGCGAATGATTTTCAATCGTTCATACATATATTGTATATGTCTCGTCAATTATTATAACTCATTAATGCGTACACGGTAATGAGTTAATTTTAGCAAAATCTTCTTTCCTGTGTAAGGGTCATTTTCAACTCTCACACACACATGATCTTTCATCTCAACTAAACCTGTATAAATTACTACAAAAGTTTTATTATGAATTATGCTGCAATTTCACATATGGTGTTGATTATTTTATGGGACGTAGAGCGAGAGATGTTTGACTGACTGGTGAAGCTGGAGAAATCGGCCAACTCTTTTTATTTTATAACAGTAAATAAAGTGGGTCCCGCAGCACAAGGTGTCTCCTAATTAGCTTGCAATTAATCCAGCGGGTGGGCCCAGGCTTCCTCTGCCTCCTCCCCCCTTAGCAGTTTGGACACTCCCCTAATCCCTCTCTCCTGACCCCTAACCCACAGACCAAACCCAGTCATGTCTTTCTCAGCCCGGTTAACCTTTTTTAGTTTTTTCATGTAAAACTTTTTCTTTATTATTTCGGAATTTTTGTGCTTAATTTGCTAATCTCACCTGGGATAGTTCAATCGTCTTTGTCACA